GTGTTAATTTTCAATGGGTGTGGAAACCGGATAAAAAGGGTAACTTTTCTGTCTCATCTGCTTATGATTCTTTAACTTTGAGCAAACTCTTTAAACTTGACATACCGGAAGGGAGCAACTTCAGAAGGATAAACATGATCACGAGAAATAGAACCCGACACCTCAAAATTAAAGGAAAAATTAAACATTTTATTTGGAAGTGTTTTTCAGGAATCCTTCCAGTACAGGTTAATTTAATCAAAAAGGGTATAATGGTGGATCCAATATACGAGGTTTGTGGAGAAGCATATGAGACGATTGATCATTTTTTCTGGGAATGTCATAGATCGAAGAGAGTCCGGGAAATAGCTCCGGTGAGATGGGAAGGTATGATGACAAAAGAACTTACCTTTTCTAACTGGTGGTGGCAAATTTGCTCGCTTTCTCACAAGGCCATTGATGAGGATAGAATTTAGTTGTCGACATATTTATTATGATGGCTTTGGAAGGCGCGTAATCTATGGGTTTTTCAAAAGCAGTGGCTCCTGGAGCTTTGCATAGTGCAGCAAGCCGTCCGGGAATGGAGAGAATTCAAGGCGATGTAATTGTTTATTTGCGAACCAGGAAAGATGTTGTAGGTCTTGTGACAGTGCACCATCTTAGTCCTGATTTTTGTTTTGTCTGGCAATATTATTGTGGTTAGGGTATTAATCTATAGGTGTTCGGCATATCCAAGCTGCCTATAGATTATTGCGTTTATCTAGATTGCTTTCAAGCGATCTCCCATATTTTCAGGCTTTTTTCGAATTTCTATGAGATGTATTATATTTGAACATTGTATTTTTATTTGGATTAATGTGAGTTTCCTTTTGTTTCGAAAAAAAAAAAAAAGATTTTCAATGGGAGTTGATTTTTAATTTCAGCTTTTTTTAGTGTAGGTGTAAACCTTATGCCAATAAAGTGTGTACTCTTCACTCTCGAGATTAGAAGAATTTGAGAAATTGGTGAGATATTTGAGGAAATCAAGATTTTTCAGTGGTCGAACCAGTTTTAATTAATATATTTGAGAAATTTTAGCTCGGTTGGTTTCAATCCTTATTGTGCAATTTGATATTTGTTAATGTGCAATTCATATAACATTACTCACAACTATAAATTTTTAATGATTTATCCCAAACTAAATTAGAGCTTAACCGAAAATAATCTTATATTTGATCAGTTAACCGAAATATACTATATATTGGTTTATTATTTAAACTATATAATATATTCAGTATTTTAATATTTATAATTAGTATTTTATATAATTTTTTATTTGAAAATACATAATAATAAAATAATAAAATCAATAATGTGCCTTCCCACAGACATTAATGTGCGTTTCGTATATCATTATTAATTAGTATTTTTGTATCATTATTATGCAGTCTAATATTGAAAATATCACTAGATGTAACATTATTGTGCAAACTGATAATCATTAATGTGCAACTTGTTTAACAATATTGGGCATTATGCCAGTGAATTTGTGTGTGTGTGTGTGTGTGCGCGCGCGTGTGAAAATCCATGCTAAAAGTGAACTGAAATAATTATTTTATTCGATTGGTTAACCGAATTAACTTAAACAATCGAAATAATTATTATCATAAAAATTTATTTAATAATTGAATATTTATAATTTTTATTCTATATTATTTTATAATATTTAATATTTTATTAGTGATTTAATTTAATATTTTTATTGATTATAATAATATATATGTATAAACAAATATATAAAGAATAATATTTCTTTTATAGATTTTTGTAAATTAGAGATTTAGTCCATGTACTAAATTGAAATATACCTAAAATTATTAAAATTGCATATAGATCCTTGCAAATCATCAAATTTCCAAACAAAACACACCACAATTTGTAGGTTGGGTTCATATTTTGCAGTCACCACACCGACAATGACATCTCCGACTCGACTCGACTGCGACTGCGAAAAGGGCTCTCCGGCGACGCCGATGTGGCCACTGACGACCGCCAAGTGAAGGGGCACCGTGCAGCTGCTCGCGTCAGGCTCGTCGACAAGTTCTGGTCTCCGATCGGCCGCGACGCGACGTCGGTCATGAGAAGCTCTCCGACCCCGGTGTGGCTCATGTCGTCCGCCAGTTGCAACAATGACGACGACACTGGAAACTTAACTGAGCTGCCGGCCTCCGCGATGGAAGTTTGACAGTCCCACAGAGGTGGAGTGACGGCCACTAGAGAAGACAAAAGCGGTTGACGACGCTGAGGGTGGAATTGCTGGATGGTTGGGCTGGGAGGGCGCTATTGTGTGTGTGTGTGTGTGATTGTGTGTGTTGTGTGCGACAGAGAGTGAGTGGTGGGCCCCACTTGTGAGTTTTTGTTTTTTTTTTTTTTGCGACTTGAGGTATCCCCACGTTCACTCCGAGACTTCACCACGAACTGCCAGCCCCCCACGGGGTACGGGCCTAACGACCTAAGGGATCCACACCCAGAGGTGTGGGACTAATACTCAAGGAGAAGTGAAGCATCCCATCCCCACTTCCCACGATAGTCAGGTTCGATCTCCTAACATTCGCTTCCATAGGGAGTTTCACCCTCCCACTAAGCGAGTGGACTACATGCCTTGGGGGCCACTGGTGAGTTTGTATGTTGGAATTGGGTAGGGTGAGTTGTGTTAGGTGGGAACCGTGGTTAGTTGGGTAGGAAACATTTTATTCAAGCGAATTGGATGTCGATACCTCTAGTCAGCAAAAAATCTGGACCACCCCCCCTTGGAATTACACATATGACCAAGAAGGTACAAGCACCCGCTAACCAAAAACTCCATAAAGGAAACTCAATAACTCCGTATAGAATACTGAAAACCATACGAAGTTGGACTAACAAAACAACAAAAACAGAAAAATAAGAAAAACCACACACATCTAAAAAATACACTTATAATAAGACCTCCTCCCCTACACCTATCACGCAAAACACACAACCGCCCGAACTAGCGCACAAGCTAAAGTTTACCGCACCGAAGCCCAAGAGAAGAGCAGACCAAAACTCCAGACCCAAAAACTGCGATGAAAATCGAGTCGCCTAGACAGATCTGACAAAGAGCAAATTCTCAGTTAAGATCTGGCCTTCATAGAACATCAGCACCGGAGAGAAAAGACCCACGCGAAGAACGGCAACGACGAGACACACTAGTGTCGCCGAGGCCGAGCAAGGAAGCTCAGCCTCCGGGAGTCTTCGAGAGCCTCCAACCAGAAACACGATAAGATGGCCAAAGGGAAGACTTCCGGCCGAGCACGAAGCCGGAGGAGGAAAATCGGCACGACGGCCCCAACACGAGCCGACACGAGAGCCACGCCGCAGCAACTCTGGGAGCCGCTACAAAATCGACCCACGCACAACTTTAATTGAGGCAAAAAGGCATCCTCATCGACCAAGCCGGAAACGGGGGCTGAGGCCTGGTAGAAGGCTAAGGGGAGATGACCGATTCACTAAGAAACATTTTATTCAAGCGAATTGGATATCATAAGCCTCTTCCCGAAAGAAATCCCGTGCGTACAAGTTTAATTCGAATTGTAAATAGGAAGAAAGCTGCCCACTTTACACAAGTTTTTTTTTTAAAAAAAATAAATAAATAAATAAAATAAAATAAAATAAAATTGAGCTGAACTTTGCGCTTTCTCATGTTTTAGTCTTAATTTCAATTAAATCTAAAATTCGATTGTCTTCAATTTTAGTCTTAATCTCAATTATATAAAATCGTCTTCAATTTTAGTCTTAATCTCAATTATATAAAATCCAATTTTATTTGTTATGGCTTGTATTAATCTCAATTTGCATCTGTAAAATTGAAAGTGGATACAAATGTACATTATGTGTGTATTTGTTATGCGTACAAAATTACTTTTGAGGTAACAATTTGTCTTAATCTCAATTAGATATAAGATAAATATCATTTTATTTGTAAAATTTATAAATCTGCATAGTACAGAATTTCTTTTTTACGGTGAATCTTTTGTACTCAAATTACTTAAAAAATAATAATAATATTTTTTAAATCTTCTGTACTCAACTTTCAAGTACTGTCATAATCATGTCAATATTTATTTTATATATACTACGTAAGTTTTCTCTCATAAACTTTAAATGTCTTTATTTAAACCTATAATATATAGATACTTTTATACAAATATTTATCATGTCATATTCTATCTATATATACATAACATCTATACATATACATATACATATTAAATTTAAATATTTTTAAGAATGTTTTCTTTAAAAAAAAAAAAAAAAAAATTGTTTAGAAATCTTTTATACACAAAAGTGAAAGTTAATATCTTTAGACATGTTTTCTTTCCAAAATAGTTTAAAAAAATGGTAAGTGACTTCACAACTTTTTAATACTAATATAGAAAATTTTAGATATTTTTACATGTGTTAATATAATATTTTAGGTGTTTGTAATATTTTAAACGTACAAATTTTACGTTTTCTTGTACAAGCTAATTTTAAATTGTTTATAATAAATTGATATGGTAAATTATATCGCATGTTAACTCCACATTTTTAATTGTTTACCATCATATTTAATTTATAATATTTTTCTTGTTTTTTAAGAAATGATGGTTTCCTATTTTTCATTGGATGACTCGAACTCAAAACTTATTTATAATTATTATTTAATATTATTTACCCGTGCATAGTACGGGATACACTAGTTGTAAAAATAAAAATAAAAAAAAAACGACACGTATTATATGTTCGTCGATTCTTTTACGGAAAAGCTGCCCACTTTACACAAAAAAAAAAAAAGATGGCTTCGCACCGCACCGGCGGCACCCAACCTTCGGCCCCGCCGGCACCCGACACGGAACAGCCTCGTGTTGGCTATCCCTACCAACCTCCTCCGTCTGGGCTCTCTTCTCCATATGCCCCAGTCGCTCACACTCACAGCAGCGGCGCCGGAGGCTCGTTCGGCCCGGATCCGACCCGACCGCCTCAAGGATACGGGTATTACCCCTACCCTCCACCGCCGCAGCATCATGTTTACAGCTCGTTTCCGCCGGGTACTCACCCGGACGTGGTCCGGAGCTTCCAGATGGTGGACAGGAACCAAAACGGATATATCGAAGAAAATGAGCTGCAAGAGGCTTTGGCTTGGAATTACCAAAAATTCAGCCGCAGGACTTTGCGTTTTCTCATATTTCTATTCAGGAATTCCCAGGAATCTTTCTCTCGAATCGGTGGGTTTGTTTTGCTATGTTGATTTTTTCCTTTGTTTTTCTTACTGAATTCCTTGTTTATTGCAAAATGTTTTACTTCATTAAACTGTTACACTATAATGGGCTTTTCTGTTAATTGTTGTTGTTGTCGTTGTTGTTATTGTTCCTCACACTCGTTACTCAAATAAATTGAATGATCTTCCTTTTGGGCTACTATCAAATTGAATGATTAAGTTGATTTCATGAAGAGTGGTGTGAAAAATGCAAGTGGGACTTGAATGTAATTTTATGTCAGTGTCTTGTTTGTCTCTGTGATTCAATCTGGTTAACTTTTCGTCATTTTTCTACAAAATGTAGGACCAAAGGAGTTTGTGGATATATGGAGTTGTCTCGGCCAGTGGCGGGTGAGTATAGAATGTAATCCTTCGTTTATTTTCTTACTACTCATAACAGTAAACTAAACGATATCTTTAGAATTTTATAGAAGGTGATTCTTTATGTTGAAATTGTGCACGCTATGCATAGGATCGTGATATATCCGGCTTATGTGCAACTGCCATTTAGGAAATCATTTGACCAACTTACATAGAACATGTGTATCTTGTACATATATTTCACTGCCTTTTGTCTTTTCTCAAACTTGAGAAATTTGGATTTCAAATGAATAAATGTTTTGTATGAACTATTAATCTCCGTGTTTGAGCTTCTACATTTTAGTTTTTTTCTTTTAAAAAAACCAGGTTTACCATTGTTTTATTGGAATGATTGAATCTTTTTGTAACACGAAGGAGTTGCACCTTAACATGTGGGTGGCATTAGCTACTGTAGAGCTGGAAAAGAAATGAAAATGTACTGTCCCAAGATGCACGAGAGAGGTGATTGTGAAGATTTAACTGAAAATTAGAATGATATGGCTTGATGTATCAGAGACAGAGATAGTTAGGAAATGCGTACCTTATAGGATTCTCTGTTTACATGATGTGTTGTCTTACATTGTAATATGTAATTGTTGTGTCTTTCAAGTAAAAAATATTTGATGCTGGGACTAATCTGGTTCCATTAACTTGTCCATTTATGTTAGTCAATTTTTGAAAGATTTGATAGAGACCGAAGCGGGAAAATCGATGCTACGGAGTTGAGGGATGCCTTATATAGTCTTGGATATGCATTACCACCTTCTGTTTTGCAAGTTTTGATTTCCAAATATGATGATGGCAGTGGACGTAAGGTGGAGCTGAGTTTCGACAGTTTTGTCGAGTAAGAGCCTATTTCTTATATACTGGACATGTTGTGATTGCATTTTGGTTTTCATTCAGCTGTGAATTTGATGGTCTTCTTTTTGTTTCAGGTGTGGGATGATTGTAAAGGTGAGTAAAACCTATTTACAAAATTCATGACCTTAGATTCTGTGTAGCATTTGGCATTTTCGTTATGGATATTTACTCTCACCCATATTATGTGCTGTTGTTGCTCTACTCGAATTGTGCTTTCCCATTAAACTCATACTTCTTAATGAAGTGTGCATGAAAAGAAAGAATCTGATTTCCAAAAGCAGGACTTTTACTTACCTATTGTAGCTGGGATCGGGATGCAAAGTCGATGCCAATTATTATTATTTAGCAGATCTTTGACTCGTCAGTTTTTTACATGTTCATTAGGATCAATCACCAAAAAACACCTTTTGTGTTTTATGAGAAAATACTGTGAGATTGGCATACCTCATGTTTATTATCTTGAACTTCTCTTGGTTATTCAGGTTTTCTACTTCCAAAAGGATTACAGAATGCATTTTTCTCTTTTCTCTGTTTCCTTTATCTTTTATCTCATTCAATACTTCAATCCCTTTATTCAGGGTTTGACTGAAAAGTTCAAGGAGAAGGATCTACGATATACAGGTTCAGCCACTCTATCTTACGACACGTTTATGTCCATTATCATTCCTTTCCTTGTTTCAGATTAGCACCTTCACCAAATTGGATTTGGTTTTAGAAACTCTTTGTACATATGCTCAAGTTAAAAATAAAAGGTCGTGTCCCGTGTTGTTTGAATTGTTGTATATTATAGATTCGACCGATATCTATGTAGCACATAATTGTTTGCCGTTGTTGATGGGATTTATTTATTTGTTTGATTAAATTTATTTGCCAAATGGGCTAAAAAGGTTGAAGCACACGAGCATGTGTAATAGATTGTGATGAGTGTTTTGCAACCTTATTTTGATTTGTTGCCTTGTACTGTAGAGTGGTGTAATCCCTCCCTATATATTAATTCAAAATGTATTGAGCCTATGTGGCAGATTATCACGCTTCGGATGCTGACATGGCGAAAATCTATGCGAAAATCTATGCTTCGTGATGTTTTTATATTATTTTTGCTATGGAGTTAGGTTTGGTACTAGATATAAATAACTTTACACATATATTCATTAACTCAACACTAATGTTGTACATGAGTATTAATACTAGTACATAGTATTTCTGAAAGTTAACAACGTTAACCATTTTGAGACAGCCACGAAGACAATAGTTTCATGGAAATCCAAATTGTTCAGGTTATTATGCAGCCTACTTGAAACAGTTATGGTGTAATGACAAATATAATATTATATGAAAAATGTTAAGGTCCCGTTACGGGATGGTTTAGTCAGTATTTTTAACCATTAGATATACATGTAGTTTATGTTGTCTACATAATCTACGGTAACAAATACTGACGGAATCGTTCTGTCAATTGTAATTTGGTATGATGTTTGGTCAAATTACGGAAAACCGAAGTTATCCTTTTTTATATTTCTTTCTTTTTACTAGTGCGTGGCCCGTGCGATGCAGGGGAAAAAATATTACGATTGTGTTAAAAATTTAATATACAAATAAATTAATCAAGATTCTTTGACGTCCCATATCTGAGTCGCCGAAGATGTCCCACCCATCGTTTTAAAATTAAATCGTGTTGGACACAGTCCGACCGCATAGACCGAGAACCAGTTTATAATCAGTCTAGTTCACTTGAATAAAATATTTGATATTTAATACGTCAACACCAGTCGGTTGAACTGGTAGGATCGATACGATTTTCTAAACAAATTTTTGCTATATTTAAAACTGTTTTAAATAAAATTAAATAAAATAGAGCTTTATAAATTGTTTATCAATTAATTTAAAATTTTGAATTTTTAAATTGTTTAGATATTTAAGTAACACATTTTATTCAAATTTATTACAAAAAGTACCACATATATATATATATATATATTAAAGCTTTTTTTTAAAAGAAAATTAATAAATTGTATAATTTTTATAAATTAAATTGTATGATTGGATTGTATGATTATATTAAAGCATATTTATAAATTAAATTGTATTTAAAAAATAAGAAAAATAATAAAAGTACTATTTATAGGTTGCATTAAATGCTGACCTATTTTTTTGCTACTAATTTTAGTAAACAGGATAGCTTTTCATATAAGTATAGATAAGGTATCCTATTTACCAAATTTAGTAGGTTGAAAAGTCAACGTAATTAATGCATTGCTATTTATATCCAGAATTTTATTTAATTATTTTATTTATTTGTCTTATATCTCATAAAATCAGTTTAAGAAAAAAAAATCTCATAACATCTGATAAGTAAAATAAAAAAGGACGTAAAATCTTTACTAAAATAAAAAAAGATTTATTTATTTGTCTTATTCCATATTAACATCAATTTTTTCAAAACAAATCCCATAAAATCGGTGAAGTCAAAATTTGTACGTAAAGTCTATCTATACTAAAAAAAAAGGCAGATTCAAAATTCCTTATCTAATTCCTTCTTTTCCTTATCTAACTCCTTCTTATTATCTAATTATATGAAAATCTGTTATGATTTTGTTCAATCATCTAATTGTATTTGTATTATATCCCATAAAATCGGTTTAACAAAAAAAACTTCATAACATCCTATAAGTAAAACAAAGTACGTAAAGTCTTTACTAAAATAAAAAAAAAACATTTATTATTTAATTTATTATCTAATTGTATGGAAATCTGTTCTGATTTTGTTCAAACCGATTTCTGTATTCAGATTCAGATTTTCTAATAAAAATATTAACTGCAATATATATCTACTCTACTCATTATAAATTACAAATCTCAAAATAAATTATTTGAATTATTTGAATTTTTGTTTTAATTTCGAAATTTAAAACGTATATTTTAAATTTTTTTCGTGTATGTATTTAGATATTTTTGTACATGTTTAGTGAAATATATTTTCAATTTTTTTAATTATATTTTCAGATTTGCATTTTAACTTATTTATTCTACATATCGTGTATGTATTTAGATATTTACATTATTTATATTTATTTTCGTGTATTGTAAAACGTTTATTGAATATTGCATCTTATAATATAATAATCCCCAAATAAATATATCTCGTGCCTCGCACAGGTCACGTACTATATATATCTCGTACATTTTTCTTTATTCATTTATATAATTATAAGGCTGGATAAATGGCCTTAAAATTGTGCACCTCGTGCATCGCACGAGCTCTGTACTAGTTTATATAAAAAGTCAACATATTTACTAAAAATATCAACAAGAAAAGTAAACCAACATTTAATGCATTCAATTTTTTTGATTTTTTTTTTCTTTACTATACAACCAGCATTAAATGCAACCTAAAATTGTGGCTTTTGTTTAATCCGATTGCATACAACTTTAAAATCCCGTCTCTTATTTCATTTCAAAAAAATTGGTTGCATTTTTTATTCCAAATAATCCAATCGCAACAACTTCAAATTTCTATCTTATTTTACTCCGAAAAATCTATAATTTAAATCTATTCGAATCCTTATTTTTTGGTAACCAAATTGATTTATTTAGATGACACGTGTATTATTAGATCTTTAAATAATTTGTGCCTGATTATAGAATTATTTTTTTTCTATAAAGCATGATTTTATTTTTTTCTTATATACTAAAAGAATCATAACAAATAACAAATCTATTCAGTGTGGCTATTGATAATCCTATGGCATCTACATCTTTGTTTTTTTTTTTTTTTTTT